ACGAGACAGAGCGATTAGAAAAAAAAGAAAATGACTGTACCAGCAAAAGAAATAGAAACTAAAACTAGACCTGTGATATTACTACATGCCAGATATGGTAGGCAATTTCCCATAAGCTTTCGCATTTAATACATCACACAACCAGGTAAATGTAACTGTGGAGACTGGTAAAAACGATTCCTTTATTTGCCTATAAGAAACTGAGGCTCAGAAGAGTTAAATTATGTGCCTCGGGCACATGGCCAGTGAGGGGCAGAGTCCGGATTTGAACCCAAAAGTCCCTGACCACAGTTGATGCTCACCCCACTATTCCATGCTAGTGTCGGGGGGAAGATGTCAGCTTCATTTTTGGACACGTTGCTTGAGCTCAATGAATATTTTCAACAGGTATCTGGGGAAGTCTGAGGGTGGGGAAAAGGGTTGGAGAAGGGAATTTAGAAGCTTTATGCAAGTTTTGTAATGATCAGTGAAATCGCTGAAGTGAATAATCGATAACAGATTATTTATCATTATCAACTTGCACGTGTCTGAGCTGGGGTGTCATCATGTTTGTCTGAAGAGCCCACGCAGCAGTTTTAAAGGGATTCGCAAACAGAAGAAAGCTGCTGTTCTCGCCAGTAAGCAATATTTTAGCGGCAAAACGCCCTATGAACGGTCTGTGAGTACAAAGCAGCAAGCATGTGAATCACTTTTACAATGTCACGTTCTCTCCTTCCACTTGGGGAGGGAGCACAATGCTTCCATAAGCAGATCCTAACAGCACAGATGCTGGTGCTGATTTGAGCATAAACGCTGTCCCGCACACACACAAAAAGGAAGGAGAGAAAAAATCCCAGAGTGCCATGCCTGCATAAATCTTACATTTTTATGAATCACTGCCATTATGGCAACCACACAGTGAACATTTGTGCCTGAGGATGTGAATGGATCCTTCTAGATAGTTTAACTTCTCTCAGACTCCTCATCATTTATATGTGTCCATGTATCATATCCAAATAGGACTTTGCCTCCCAGACTGCTCAGGTAGCAGCCGGGACCCTGTATGATGAACGTTGGAAAAGATAGTTTCATTGTAACCCAGAGGAGCGCAGTCTTGCCTCTGTTGCTATGTCGTCAACATCCGACCACAGACTCAACATTAAGTTTTCCATTTCCTATCAGCAGCTGTTTTCTAGAGCCAACAAATATCGTCTACCATCAAATTTTATGCTTTGTAAAAGGTGACCTATACTTTCTTTTCCAATGCAGTTTCTTCAATGAAAATATTGTAATGTCAGTCCATGCAAAGCAAATGCATATTAATATGCGTTTACATCTGTCTCGTATTAATATTCATGCCTGAATCCACATCCCTACACAAAGCCAATTTTCTGACCATCTGTGTGATGGCTGGTGGATGCAATGAATAAATTTTATTTGTGAGGGGAGTGATAAATCATGTATCTTCGGGTTTTTTTTTCACCGACAATCTTCCCTTTTAGGTGCAAACATGTTTTCATCGTGGTTTGGAATATTGAAGGAAATGAAAAGGATTAACCCTTTAATGTCCCTACAGGCTATCTCAATCTCATAAAGGCCATGAAAATGCGCTCTCAACACCTCTAATCAAACACAAGGAGAAGGAACTACCGATTCGCTTCGTTAGATTTGACATCTCTGCTTCCTCTGTGAGCCCCACTCTTTAATAATCCTCTTTGGTGTTGTTTAAAATGCACACTAGCTGCTTTTGAAAAATTTCACAGAGAAAGGCAAGGCCTTGCACAAAGAGTGTATTTCTGAAGTCCTTCCGGCCATACAAAGTATCTTAAAAGTCACATGACGTGTAAGCACACGCAATGGAAAGATCTCAGAGAAAGTTTGACAATATTTCTATCATGATCTCTGTCCTGTCACTTTGACCCCCCACTGAAATATCAAGATTTCAGAGGTAACAACTTGTTTGCAAATTTGGGGATCTGTTGGGGACCATGGCATCATAGAAACAATGACCTTTTAGGACAGGAGACAATTGCAGTTAATTAACCTGGCAAACAGAACCCACTCAGAAGGGTTAGACTGGAAAGCAATGATATCATGGCAGAGAGAGCCTGAGAAACTCATACACTAAGGAAAGAAGTGTTATCAGATGGCCTGAGGAGCGAAAGCCGCGTCGGGCTAAGGTAGTTTCCCTCGCCTCTTCCCAGGGATGCTTCTGTGAATTCTAATCGGACTACTAGATGGAATCCAAACCCAACGTTTCCATTTGGTTTCATTTGCCGTCTCTGAGTTAGACAGGGCTTCTCTAAGGTCCCTGAGAATGCCACGTGTAGCACAAATCATAGCTTCCAGGTCACAGCAGAAATAAATTGAAACTTCGTGTTCTCGCAGGCTGCCAAACATTTCTATTTCTGCTTTAATGACACTGAACAGAGCAGCGAGGTCAAATGGGAACCCACAGAGCTATAAGTCTGCTGTAGATACAGCCCGTTAGCAAATGGATACACAAATGGTAAATGGAGCAGTCAGAGAAATCTTGTCTCAAGAAAGCATGTTACTGAGTAAGCACCTGCTACTTGCAAGATACATCATCCTGGGACTGAGATTAGATGCCGCGCTGGCCTCATAAAGCTTTCCACCGATCTAATAGTGAAGGCACATTCTCCCACCAGAAGATTCTCAACAGTGAAGTTAGAGGATGATCAATGCAACTGAGCACCATAAAAGGATGAAAAAGACAGTGAGACTCCCACAAGCCCAGGGAATCAAGGGACCTCTCCAAGGAGATTTTAAGATCAATCTTGAAGGCTGAGAAGATTCAGATGGTCAGAGAAAAGACGTCATATAAGATGGGAGAAGCTCTACAAAGGCCCAGAGCAGGAAGTATTTAGTGGGAGGAAGGAGGAGGAGTTGGAGAAACTTCTGGGTAGACCTCTATGGTGACATCTGAGAATTAATACTCAAAATTATGGGAGTTAAGGGAAATGATTTTGAGTAGTATGCATGTAGGCATTAAATAACATTGAATTATAAAGCCAGAAAAAGAATTCCTTAGAACTGTTTATTCTCCTGTTGCCTCAAGAAGACAGTCTCTCTCCGTTTGATGCTAATATATCTTTCACACCACTCCAGTACTTGCAAAATCCCTCTTTTTAACAAAGAGAGAGCCAGCCTCAGGCTTAGTCCTCAAACTAGAACTTAATAACATTGTTTGCTTTCCTGCTTTTTTTATTCTTAGTGTTACTTTACTTTATTCCAAGTAGTACTCACTGGTCTTCCATTTGTGATAGTAATATAAAATTTCCCTGTAGGAAACACTTATTTAAGATTTTTTTCAAATTACTTGTTTTTTGAGATAAGTAATAGAATGAATGAACGTGATGAAAAAACTACTGCGACATAGTAACTGGCAAGATGGAAAGATGGGTTGGACTCAGTCTAGAAGTGCCTCCAGATAGAAGCTAACTGGGTTAAATTACAGCCTTGGGTTTCAATTCCATTTTTTTAATCCTCACTCAAGGATATGTTTATTGATTTTAGAGAGAGAGGAAGGAAGAGAGAGTGAGAGACAGAGAAAAACATCAATGTGAAAGAGAAACATTGATTGGTTGCCCCCCCCCCGGACATGCGCCTACAGATCAAACCCACAACCTTTTGGGGTACAGGACGAGGCTCCAAACAACTGAGGCACCCAGCAAGGGCTGATCTCAATTCCATTTGGTAATTCTGAGTTTCTTGGTTCCCCTCCTATACGGCATTGCTGAGATTGTGTTTATAAAATCTCTTTCAGGCCTAGAATTTTTTTAAATATACCTAAACTTTTTTTCATACAAATACAAAAAAAACATAATCTAAATGAGAGACGGAAAAGACATAATAGTTCACCATGATGTTTCTCTCTATCCCTCAGAGATTTAATATGAGAAATAAACATAAACTGCTTCACCAGAAGCAAAAGGATGTAGCTTTCATGAGATCGCTCGGATTTCACACCATATACTTAAGTATAATTTAGCATAATATTGATAGATGTTTATATTTGCCACCCGCCTTTTTCAGAGTGATATTGCAAGGATTACTGATACAATATTTGGTAAGTCTTTTCAGCTCTTGAAGAAAATATACACCATAAAATTAAGGTAATAATAATAGTCATTGTCATAACAGCAATAACTGCTCATCCATGTACATTTTCAAACACGGGCCTGTGTCGATGGAAAGAAAAATTAGGCTGAAGCTAAAAATGCTTATCAGCTGGTTAGAACACACAGACTTAGGACGGAACCATCGTAATGCTATCTACGATTTATTGAGATCTGGAGTGGGGTCTGAGATTCTGCGTTTGTAGGAACTCCCGGGTTGCCGGAGCCAGATCTCATTCAAGAAGCTGGAATGATAATGTATGCATTGGCCATTGACACCCTCCTTGGGGGGAACTGGCCCATGAGGGCTACTGCTCTCTGTGGAAACTACCGGGGTATCCCAGACAATGACCTCGGCCTCCTTTTCTTCTCTACTGCAGATCCCAGTGGTGGAAGGTCTGCTCACCTTCCTGAGTGTTTTTTCTCCCCGTCACGATGGGCTGTGGAGATGACACACTCTCTACAGGATTCACCCCTTCCGGTTGCCACAAAAAAAACACAGGGGCCTTTATAACCCAAATGTCAGCTGCCTGGATGTCTCCATAAAATTTTATGGCAAGGGAGGCAAAGATGGTGGGACAGCATCCGTTTTAAAAAAATGCTCAAGCATGAATTAGCATCGCTCCACTCACTCGGGCCTCTCAAAAGAATTCTACTATTTCCCAAGTCTCCCCTTGCTTCGATGTCTGCTTTCAGGGAGTTCCCTTTCCCGCTTCAGCCTCTCTTCTCCCCAGCCCACATCCACACCAATGTCAGATGTGTCTGCTTTTTCCTTTTCTCGCTCCCACAGATGATCGCCACTGTACAGAGGGATAAGGCAGAGCCTTGAGAGGGACAGAGGACCTTCGCTACAACCAGCACAGGAAACAGCTGAACACTTACCATTGCAATTCCTTTAACTCACAGTCCACCAGCTCCAATCTCCTGAAATGAATTTTTTCCTCCTCACAACACACTGATGATCACCCTGGAGAAAAAAACAAACAAAAAAAAAACTTTAAAAAAGCAAAACACAGGAAGCATGGATTTTAGACCTATCATTCTGACTCTCTTTCTCAAATGGCATCAAAGCTCAGTTAATCAAAGATTCGCCTGCTTTTGTTGTTGTTTCTCCAAAGGATGGCCTCCACAATCCCCTGCGTGACACTGGACTGAACCCCTTATTCTTATAAAGAACCCCCAACCCTAAAATGAAGATGCAACTCAGAGACATGAACTATTACCTTTGTACGTGCCTTCCTCCAGTATGTGGTGGACGTGTCCAAGCAACTCCACAGTGGAGGGTCCCACTTCCAAATATTCCCATGCTCTCACCCTAATTGATTCCTATCGCTTAGCTTTCTTTCCCCTGCTGGATTGGAAATCCTTTGGGGCACATGCCCATGGTTCTTACTTTTGTGTCCCTGTGCCCCCAATTCTTAGCCCTAGTCATAGAAAAAGGCCTCATGTCCTTATGCACTGACTGATTCTTTTGTTGTTGTTGTTACTCCTCACCCGAAAATATTTTTCCATTGATTTTTAGGGAGAGTGGAAGAGAGAGGCAAAGACAGAGAGAAACATCGATGTGAGAGAAGCACATCTATTGGTTGCCTCCTGCACAAGCCCTGACCAGGGCCTGGGCCGGGGAGGAGCCTGCAACCAAGGTACGTGCCCTTTGGTCCTCAGGCCAACGCTCTATCCATTGAGCCAAACCGGCGAGGGCTGATTCTTGAAACCACACCCACTTATGAATCAGTTTTTGCTTTCCTCATAACTGACCTTACCACATGCACCCATACCAAAGGCACCATATGTTAGTTCTCATGTTGAACTGAATAAAGAAAAGAAATTTAGAAAGAGCTGCACACATCACTTGGGTAATTATTCTGCATTTATAATAGAGCAAAGAGGTTTTGGCTACATGAGCTGAAAGTAAGACGCATTGTGTTTTTAAAAGATTCTTGGCAATCTGTGGGTTTTGCCTTATTTGCAGCCAATCAGGTCAACGTGGATATCCTTTAACCACTGATTTTATTTGATTATTTACAATAGCTAACATAACGGCACTGGCAATATTTCCTACAGATGCCACCTCTTCTGTTCTCCCAATTTTAAATAAACTCTCAATTCTCCTAGTCTCTGAACAGCCTTGGGTATGTGTTAGCAATTGGCTTTAATGGCACAATCTACATCTACCTCACTTGCAAGGCACAGACAGTATACACACCCTTGGGGTTATGAGCTTGTCTCGTTAGGAAGAAATGTGGCCCTAGTTATATTTTCAGAGATCTCACATAAATAATTCTTGGCTGCAGAAGAAGCAATTGAATCATCCCTTAGGTTTTCTCCCCCCTTGGAATTTCTGGGTTGGAATTTCCGTCTTTGCCTATCTTGTTCAGGCTGTATTTCATACGCCTAGAACAGTGCTTTGCCCATAAAAAGGGTTCAATAAATATTTATTGACTAAATGAATGACCATGTGAATAAGTAATAAACTATATTAAGAGCTAGAAGATCAACATATCCTTGTATTCAAATCCAAAATTTAAAATGCTGCTGTTTTATTTTTTTGGTGGAATTGGCCTTTAAATAAATTGTTCCTTATTCATTTGGCACTTCAAAGGGGTCAAGAGAAAAATATGTCCTTCCCTTACCAATAAAAATAAAATGGTTCATCACCTGGGCCCTGTAAATATTTAGGTGCTTTCTTTCAAGCTTTGAGTTCGTGTTATGATGCAGTGTTTCTCCATGGAGGCGCTACCGGCGTTCTGTAGGATATTGTTCCATACATTGCAGGACATTTAGCATCACTACTGTCCCCCCACTAAGGGTCAGAGGTACTGCCGAATCAATGTGACTTCCCACAACATCCTCACATACTACTCAATCTTCTCCGTAAGAACCTACTCTAAATTTTTATTGGATCTGAGTTATATCCAAGACTTCCTCGTTTCCTTCAGGACAAAATTCAAACTTGAAATTAAACCTGGTCAAGTCTTTCATGACTTGTCCTGTCACCACCAGCAGTTTTATTTCTCGTGGTAGCCCCACCTACCCTTCAGCATCACCCCTCCACCTGCCACTGCACAGATGTGCCTTGTTCTTGCCCGTCCCTGTGTCCAGTCATGCGGTTCCCTCTGATGAGAATGTCTTTCTAATCCCTGCCTCCCACGTCCACCTGCGAGGACGGCTCAAGTATTTCCTTGCATTGGCTGCACGTCCTGACAATTGCTCCACCTCAGCCACCACTCAGAGATGTTACGCTTGTTTGTTTCCTTGTCAGTCTCCTCCCATTAACCGCTGGGCTCTCTGAAAATAAAGAGTTTGGCTTCTTCATTTCTGATTCCTTAGTACCTAACACTGCATGCACTCGAGTACACGACACACCACGCCATAGTATGTAGTATGCATTGTGCCACATAAAGGATGTCAATCGAGGACAATGTGCTGGAGCCTGCCGTGTGCTGCCCTGTGCTGGGTTCTGGGGATGCCATAGAGAGGGAATGAGACAGACATGAGCCCTTCCCTCATGTCTAGAGGAAAGGACGGACATTAAGTCATTTCAACTGTGGTGTAAAGTGACAAAAGAGGAGGTTCAGAAGGAGGGTGATGGGAGAGCACAGCTTGGGGCTCTGTCATGCCTGGGCACCCATGGGGAAAGGACCATTCAGAATAAGTAGGTATTAGCTGTGCAAGGAAGGGTGAGAAGAATGCCCTGGGTGGAGGCAGCATATGAAGGGGCCGAAAGTGACAGGCTGTCCATTCTCCTGTATGGCTTCAGTAATGTATTCAGAGTCAAGTTCTGAAGTCCAACTGCCCAGGTCAGCAAGCAGGCGCCGCCATTTCCACTCTGCATGCCCTTGGGCCAGTCCCAAACCTGCCTCATTCTCACTTCTTCTGTAAAACGGGAATCATAATCTTACTCTACGCTGTATTTGCTGTTAGGACTAAAGAAGAGCATCGATTTAAAGTGCCTAGCGTAGAGTCTAGCACAAAGTGTTCTGTAAATATTACCTCATTATTTTTTGTTATTATCCAACAAACATTAATTATTCAACAAATGCCAAACCTTATTACCCGACACACACACACACACACACACACACACACCCTCCAGCCTGGATTTAGTACGTAATGAGAGTGTCTTGTCTTATTTACTGCTTTTTCAGAAGTGGCACTAGAAAAAGAGATAGGCCTTTAAGTGGGGTGTTCTGCAATCTCAAAATAAGGACAATAATGGGCCTGTGAATCCAGTCCAAGCAATCAAAGAAGTCTCAAAACTGGCCAACAGATCAGGTGGCCCCTTGGAGGCATTGAATGGTAGTTAATGTATCATAGTATTTGTTAAACACAGATTTCCCCATCCCTATCCCAACTAAGTGGTGTGAAATAGCAGCTTCATTCATGCCATGGCCTCTGTGAGTCAGAGATTCAGAGAAGGAAAAGGAAGCCCAGCCTGAGAAGACTCGGGGTTCTGTCCACCGGAACCCCCACATGGAGCCTCCCCAGCATGGCAGGCTGGGGGCAGTGGGATTTCCTTACACGGTGCTGGCTTCTCCAGAGTGAGCATCACAAGAGAACAGAGGGAACACTGCATCTTTCCCCACCGAGCGTAAGGATCACGTGGATTCTGTGGTTCTAAGCAGCCACAGACCGACAGAGATTGAAAGGGGAGGGGTGTGAGCCTGCCTCTCGGTGGAAGGGGTGTCGTAGAGGTTGAGCGTGTTTTTCAACTGACGTGTATCTTGTTTCGATCCTTAATGTGCACCCACAAACTTTCATCTTCTCTAGACATTCTTTACATGGGTGAGGTTTTGACAAATACCAGAGCGAAGCGATAGGTCACTGGTTTCTTGAAACCCATCAATAGTCCTCAGTGATGCCTGACCCTGCCTAGAGAATATTCTGCTTTGTAAAGTTGGTCGCTAAAGTCTTCAATTCAGAAGGAACTTGTTCATCCTGTCTTTAAATTCTTCAAATAGGTTTAAAAAACACTAATAATGGTTTACTCGCCCTAACCAGTTTGGCTCAGTGGATAGAGCGTCAGCCTGCGGACTGAAGGGTCCCAGGTTCGATTCCAGTCAAGGGCATGTACCTTGGTTGCGGGCACATCCCCAGTAGGAGGTGTGCAAGAGGCAGCTGATCGATGTTTCTCTCTCATCAATGTTTCTAACTCTCTATCCCTCTCCCTTCCTCTCTGTAAAAAAATCAATAAAATATAAAAAAAAATAATGGTTTACTCATCTTTTTGGTTCACATAAAAATAAGGATTAAAATCTTCATAATACACAGATTATAATGATGCCTTTTTTCACCGGATATTTTCTGTAAAGTATTCGGTCTTAAATGCAATATTGTGACACAAAGTTAGAAGAGATTAAGGATGAATGTTCATCCTAATTCATGAGTCACATATACAGTCCTTTTGGCTCTTATCTCCCTTGTTTAGGCATTAGAACATGTTTTAGCAACGTTCCTGTCCACACCTATGTCACACAATCCATTCAAATGCCTAACCATACATGCACATATCGTTTTATACTACTTGGGATTACATACAAATTAGATGTGTCAGATTTTTGTGCATTCTGATGACATGACACTAAAAAAGTTGAGTCCATAATTTCACATTTTAAGCACAGTAATCACTTTGTTCCAGTGAAATGCACAGATGCAGGAAAATAACAGCAGCCTGTGTGTATTTTCCCCCCACAGCCGTCTTCATTTTTGTCCTTCCTTCCATGCAAAATTGACTCAATTCCTATTGACATATTTAAGAACTCTCACTAATATGAGATATCTTATCACATTAGTAATCATATTCAGAGACAAAGCTGTTTTAGACCTGGGAAATGTCAATCCAGCTCAGTGGCTATAGAATTCAACCGGTGCACGGCTGCAAACATAACCGCGTAGGCCCAATCACACAATCGTAACCTTTCCACGCTGCTCCTCTAATTTGATATTGCTACCTGGTTTAAATTACCA